AGTCTGGTCCAGGTAAAACCCTCCAGACTCCACAGAGTCAGGTCCAGGTAAAACCCTAAAGACCCACAGTCAGGTCCAGGTAAAACCCTCCAGACTCCACAGACTGGTCCAGGTAAAACCCTCCAGACTCCACAGAGTCAGGTCCAGATAAAACCCTCAGACCCCACAGAGTCAGGTCCAGGTAAAACCCTCCAGTACTGATCTTCAAGTGGATTAAACTAGTTGAGATCGAAGTATGAAGACTTCTCGGTCTCAAAAGGTTAGCATGAACTTTGTTTAATTTGCACAAGATTCATAAATTCATTTAAATGTTTTTAAATATACACATTTGAAATTGCATTTTTACAAAATACTGTGAAAATATTTTCCAGTAATTCTTTGAGAAGAAGAATGACCCAACTACTTTTATTCATTTCAAATGTAGTTTACACTAAAAGTACCCGATTTAAATTTTTTTAATTGGACACCTGTGGGCTTCACTGTCACAGAACCGATGGCCCGGCTGCAGCAAACACTCAAATTTTCCGTCTCGTTATTTCAGCAAATAAAAGGAATTTGGAAGTTCAAACTGGAACGTTAGATTTGTTTTTGTTTGTTGTTTATTCAAGTCTGGTGTATGTAAACATTTGGTTTCTGCTCACGTTCTTCAGAAGGTCAAGCCAAGGACAGAACGTGGACTTTACAAGTCTTCACTCTTAATAATCAGTTTGAACATTTTCAGATCAGTTGGAGGTTTTCCTTTCAACAGGAAGTCCTATTTATTTTCAGTTTTACTGAGAAGCCACGCCCACTAACTTCCTGTCTCAGACAATTGTTCTGGCTAGTTGCTCTCAAACAGCTTGGTTTGGCTATCAGAACCAAAGTTCTACAAACATGCTGCTAAAATGGAGAGCTGGTTCTGGTTCCGACTGATTTGGATCTGGTTTTGTCTTCACAGTGTGGTTCTGGTGAACTTCAGCGAGGACCGGGCCTCGGTGCGAGTTCTGATGGGTCACGCTGTCAAAGACGTAGAAGTTCTGCAGGAGCCGGATTCAGAGACCGCAGACCGCCTTCGTTCCTTCTTCCATCCCCTGACGACCCCCATCCTGGACCCTGAGGAACTGAGACGGAGGAGGGCCAGGGTCCACCAGTGGCTTGAAAAAAACCGTCTTCCTGTGGATGAGGACCGGGACAAGCTAAGGGTGGCAGGGGTTCTAACCATCGCAGCTCCATACAGACCCGAGGACTGCTGCAGTTCCAACCAGATCATCCTGGACCGCATCCAGAAACTGATCCAGGTTCACCTAGAGGCTGATCCAGATCAAACTGAAGGCCAAGTCACTGAGACCAGTCTGGACTTGGATCCTAACTGATCCAGGTCACGGACATGTGTTAGTCCAGTTCAAGTCCCTGAAAACGGCTCATCAGTTTATTTTGTTTCTTTCAGAATAAAAGCATCCTAAATCTGTGAATATGATCCGATTTATTGATCGTCTTCTGAATTTTGTGGGAACAGCCCAGATCGAGGGACCCAGTTCAGTCCCTACTGGTCTTGATCTGGCAAAATGTTTCTTCTGACAACCAGTGGTGGTTCCAAAGTCCATGCTGATCTGGGTCTTTTAACACAACATCTGACTGAGACAGCAACTAACCTGCGTTTGAGACAGGACAAGGATTTTAAACTAGATTCACAGATTAAATCAGTGATCAAGTCCAGCTTTTATCAACTGAGACAACTGGCCACAGTCAAACCATTTCTAATTATTCATTTTGAGATTTTAATTGATGCCTTCATTGCACTGAAAGCATGATGATGGTTTCCAGGAGCCATCTTATGACCAGCAAACTGGTTGGTCCACTGTGTGGGACTTGTGGTACTCAGTTTGTGGCTCCTTGGATTGATGAAGTCCTTTGGATGAAGGACGAAATGTCTTGACAAAAGAAACTGTCCAGATGACCTGACTGAACTTTGCTGGGTTCTGTTATTTGTTTTCAAACGTCTTCATGGTCTCGCTCCACAGTATCTGTCCGACCTGCTCCAGCTGTACGTTCCCTCACGCTCTCTCAGGTCAGCAGATCAGCTGCTGTTGGTCGTTCTAAAGTCTTAACAGGAGGCTGAGAAGTGGCCGAGCGTTTTCAGTAGCTGCCTCTAAACTATGGAACGAGCTGCCTTTAACCATCATCACTTCCTGTTTTTAAATCTCTGAAAACACTGTTTTTTCCTCTCTGGCTTTTAACTCTGCTTGAAGCTTGTTAGTTTTACTGTTTAAAAAGTTTTTTTGTTTTTTTTATTGTTTACTTTTGTAATTTTGTTAGTTCATTACTTTTACAGTAGCAGTTGATTTTATGGTTTCTATGCTTGCTTGTATCTACAGCATTTTGGCCAATGGTGTTGTTTTTAAAGTGCTTTATAAATAAAGTTGTATTGTAAGGAGGCGTGGCCTAAAGTCAAGAAAGTCAGCTACTTTGTTTTACACACATTTTGATAAACCGATTAAGAAATGCAAACTATTTCAGGCTCCTCTTAGTACACAGAGACTAAAATTTAATAAAAACTTGCAGCTTGAAGTGGGCGGAGCTAGACCTCAGACCACCAATTTTGATGTGGGTGGAGTTAGACCTCAGACTTTACACCAGTTTTGATGTGGCCGGAGATAGACCTTAGACCACCAATTTTGATGTGGGTGGAGCTAGACCTCAGACTTGACACCAACTTTTATATGGGTGGAGTTAAACCTCAGATTTTACACCAGTTTTGATGTGGGC